CCTGAGAGTAAAAAAAAATATTGGCTTGACTTCCATGCAACAATCTCACGGGGCAATGTATGGGAAAGTGTGTGTCCCCCCCCCCCCCCCCCCCGGCTGGGTAAAGGATAAAATGGCTGCTTCAAGTGATTTTTCAGAAGTCTTGTGAACAGTTTCTTCTTCAGCCATTCTTGGACATATGGGGGTGTAATCCTCTGAGAGATTTCTGAATGGGTTCTTGGTTTCATGACAAGATCCCGACAGTACCTTTTAAATAAATTGGGTGTAAAGGATCAGTGTATTTTTAAAGAAGCGACTAAGTGGAGCTGTGTGCTATGCCAAGACTGACAGCAAGTGTTTTTGAGCCAAATGTGGCTTCCATTGTGGCTAAAGTCATGCAGACAACTGATACATGTTGCAATGCAATAGACACACGTTTGGGAAGCTTTCTTTCATTAATGCCATTTCATGTTTCCTAGAGTCACTGGATGAAGGATATATTGCTTGCCTAATTAAATGAAGATTCCCAGCATGAGTGGAGTATGTTGATAAGACCAAAGAACGAGGTCGATGAATCCCAGATGGTGCGTAATCAATTCTGTTTCAGCCTGCTATCCCATAATGAAATGTGAGTTGTGCACTGCACAGACACAGTCTCGTGCTCACTAATGAATGCCTGCAAATACCTATAACCCACGAGGAACAACTGGAGCGAGAGGTACAGATGCAATGTTGGCACTGTGTATAATAACAAGGCAGGACTTGCATGCAATTCAATGCAGTGTGTGTCTCGGCCAAAAACCTTTGCCTCGATTCCGCCGCCGAGTTCACTTTTAGAACCTCATAGATGCATGGAGATTATAGTAGGTGGAACGGTTAACATCGAGACACCGCACCGGGTGCTAATTTGAGGCCGAGTCGACCTAGGGGAAGCCCAGGACCAGGTTCAGATAACCGCCACTGGTATTGGCCGGTAAAGCGGGAGTCGAACTCGGGTCACCATGCTCCAAGCGCAGCTCGCTAACCGCTGTACTACCGCGCCATGCACACACTCACAAGAACAGCAGCGGAAGACTCAAAATGCATTCACCCATCAAGGTTTCTAGTGAGCTGGGCCCCCCCCCCTCCCCTTGAGGGTCCTCGGCTGTCTCTGGCTCCCGGCAATGGACCACGGCCTCGGTGTACGTAACGGTGCAGGGGGTGTACGGTTACACTCTGGCTGCAGAGCCTCCCAAGCCCACGCCGCTTGTGGACGTATGTTTCCAATAAGAGTTCTCCGCGTTGCCAGGGGGCAATGGCGCGACGTTGATTGAACGCGTTTTAGGAGCGTGATGCGTCCTTTTCCTCTGGTGCGCCGCACATTTCACTGTCTCTAACAACCTCTGCAAAAAAAAAAGGAATAATATAAAGCTGCCCTCGGGACGAGGTGTCTACTTTGCTTGGCCCGCATCTGCACGTGGAGATTCTCGTAAAAGTCAGCGACAGCAACAGCGGGGGGTTGTGGGGGGGGAGAGTCAGTTGTGTGGGTTGTGATGTTGGAGGCAATAGATTCACGGAAAAAAGTGGTGGCCAAATTTGAGTTCTCATAGAAAAGTAATTAGAACAATTTTGTTCTTTAAGGTTCACTTCGTAGATTATTATAATTAGCGATGATCAACTTTGTACACACATTTTGTTGTGCTTTTATTATGAACAAATGCAAAATGTAGCAATAAACTCTACATCACTTCCTTGCACAACTGGAGGGAATCATCGCTGGCTGTAATGCAGGGCGTTTAACGATCATCTCTCTGAACTTTCCAACTGCCATGCCTTTTGCCAGGCCCATTTTTCCATGTTGAAACCTGATTTTGCTGGAGTATTTTGGATATGCTCGTAGATTTCCATCGACATAAAAAGGCTGCACTTAAAATAAATAACATTGCATGGTTGTTGTTTTACGATGTCGTATTTCAGTACGAGATGTCACCCCAGCTTCCACAAGCTGCACCTGGTTAAGGAACCGAAAGCCCTGTAGACTGAGTCTGAAATGAGCACTCGACACTGCTGCAGTGGAATAAACTAATACTTATTTTCCACTGGTTAACTGAGCCGAGTGGTACCGTGCCGTGCCGAGCCAGCCGAGCACGGCTCAGGAGCCGCCAGGTTATTTTTTCCACTGCATAACCCAAGTTGTGCCACTTACGTAACACGTATCATTATTTTTGGTACGATAAAAATGGTTAACTCTCTTCCTACTGGCGCTGTTTGGCCCAGCGCAATTCAGATGTTTTGTGAGGCCAGAGTTTCACGGTCTGGTTATGACAAATACGCCAGTGGAAAAACCCACCCGTACCATCCCATGCTGGCACTGTTTGGATGCGCCAAGTAGAAAAGGGAGTTTTGTGAGTAGGCATGTCACGATATACTCCACCTTATAGTGATTTGAGGAATGTCCATGGTTTAAAGTTATCCATTGATTCTCAAAAATATATATTTTGGCTTATGTTTACCGTTTCATTTGTATTTTCACGTTGTTATCTCGCTCACACAATTTTGTTCTCTTCAGTAGACTAAATGTAACAATAACACATGAAATATGTTCGTTTTGCACATACATTGTAGATTTTCACACGCACGATAAGAGTGAACTTGAGTCGATGAATCAATGCATCATTCCGACCCGAATGCAGAACGCCGACGGCCTCGCTGCAATCCAGCAACATTCGTCTGTGCCCCCCACCCGCCTCACAGGTTTTCATCACAGCCTCTGTTATTACTTACCTTGGCGTACGGAACGTGCCCATACCGCAGTGTTCAAGCTATATAAATAAACAGTCATTAATAATGCCTGCTCCTCCGTGCTAGGTGCCGGGGGTGAAGAGAGACGTGGTTGGGGGTGGGCGGGTTTTGAATAGAGACGGGGGGTGGTGGTGGTGGGGGGGGTACACTGGGTTACAAACCACCGACTCTGAGGGGGGACCTTTGACTGACCTGGGTTGTCCGGCATTCCTGCCCTTGTGGCCGCAGCTGTCTGCCGTCGCTTAATTGCGGAGTAATTTTTGGTCGGCGCAGGTTGGTAATTTTGCTCACCTGTGTCAACTTCTGAGATGCACTGTTTTCATACCGGGCACTCGGCATTTGAGCTAAATTAACGACGTTCAAGGATTGTTTTGCCGGCTTAAAAGGTGCATTGGGAATTTGCAACATTGTGCAATTCCTGGTGGCTCGCTTGAAGCCGTGCATCTGGATTTCAGGTATTGAGCTGTCACGAAACAATTCACACTCACTGTGAATTTTGAGTGACCTCCATGAATTGGCAAAAAAGTTATCTTAGAAAACTGTGCCAGCGGTATTGAAGGCAATTTTTTTGTGAAGCTTTTAAATTCCACGTGTCTGACATCGCCTTGATGTAATTCCAACCTTTGCCCTTCATCTCCCGTGAACCTTTCTACCCATCCCTCACCTACCCATATCCTCCCTTCCCCACACTTTTAAACATCTCCTGTGATGTTTTTTTTGCAAATTCATGGAAACATGTAGCATATATTCCAGCTTGGATTTCCAAGAGAAAAGATTTACAGTCCCAGAGAAGTACAAAAGCATTTGGCTTGATTTTAGGTGGCATGTGGTACAACCCAGGTCTTAAATTTCATCGAAAAATAAAGCGTGAAATTTTTTAACATAAATCATTGTGAAGGGCACATTAAAAAAAATATTTATGCAGGGATGAATTTTCTAAGCGGATGTTTAACACGGAATGTTCAAGCTATTACGTCGCTCGCGTTGCATAGCAAGCATCTGTTGAATTTATAATGTTATTACATATTTGACTAAATCGCATTCAGCGGCAGGGAGAGCTTTCACATTTTTGTAAGCTTCAAAAGGTGTTTACGTTATAGCCAAGATGAACTTCAGAAGTTTTCCATTGTATAAAAATTCGAGGCCACTTGGTAAGCATGAACACATTCGCATATGATAGGCGTAACCATGTTGGGAAAAATTTAAAATCTTATTTTAAATTCCGTTTTTTTAACCCTCTGTATTTGGACGGTTAGAAAGGGGTGGAGCTGCATTACAGGCAGGGGCCGAGCCGGTGGAGACGCTGTAGGGCTCATGAAGTGCGGGGACTGGACCTGGGCAGGACCTGGGCAGGACCTGGGCAGGACCTGGGCTGCACTGTAATGGCCCAGGGCCATTTATGGGCCCACCAAATGGTTGTGGATTTGTAGCAAAAATGTCTGTTGCATACTGAAGCAAGTTGGCCTATATTCTGGATGTCGTGAAAGTACATTGGCAATATGACTTTTTGTTTCATTGTGCTGGCAATGGATATTTTAATTTTTGGTTCCAGAATTGTGCAAACAAATATTTCCGTGAAAGTGAGTCTGAATGTCATCATCCTTTAGCTTTTACATTCTTGTATACGGATCTACGATATTGAATGGACTTGAATCCGCGTCCAGACTTATTGCTGTCTCAAATTGAGTTCAACGGGGTCAAATTGTTCAAACGCTATCAGCATAACAAATTTGCAATTCTTGGCACGCACACAAACGGACACTCAACAAAAATATGTAAGCTGCCTCATGTGACGGACAATAGCCCATAAAAAAGGTACTGCGATGCTAACATTGCGTTATTTTGTCTTTCTTAAATGTGCCTCGAATGCAGAGAACGGTGTGATACGTACCGCGTCAAGAATTGAGTGGAGATGATGGGGGTGCTTTTTCCCATGTGAAAAGTGGGCACATGGGGTGGGGGTGGTGCTTGATGGGAGGGGGGTGGGAGGGGGGGGGCGCTTATACAATAGGGGGCACCTCCAAGGGATGTCCACGCTAGCAAATGCCTAGTAGGGAGCCACAGTTCATGTCCACTAATTATCCGCTTAATAATAATAGGAGAGAGAGAGCGAGGGAGAGGGTGGATGGGTGGGAAGCAGTAAGGGGGAGGGAGAGGGGGGCGAGGGCTGTTGTGCCAAAGTGGGATCACTGAAGCGGTATTTATAACGACTGAAGGTTCCCACCAACTGCACTCTGCCTATTCCGCCCCGACTGAGGACACCTTAATTATTGCACACGAAGGATTATGCTGGATATTATTATTATTAATATGCCTTCACGAGAACCATCGGCAGTCAATGTTGTCTTCAATTAACAACACAAATGAATAAATTGCGCTGCATTGCCAATTCACCGCTGGATGTGTGCATACGTCGAGCTTCTTTGGCACCGTGCATCGCCCACCGTGCTCCTCGGATGACCAGACCTCCTCACCACGCTGAGCAGTGCAGGTTGGCGAAGGTGAGTGGGGGGTGCTCAGGCAAAGGGGATAAAGGTGCGGCGCTGCAATAGCCTGCTCACACCGCTGCAGGCGGATGGGCCACCCAACTAGGCTCTAGAAAGCCTCTCGACACGGTATATTGGCCTACTCGTCCATGCTGTCCAGACACCTTTGAAAGAAGGGGAGAGAGATACCCACAACTCTACCCCACCACATGCAACCTTTACCCTGCTGGGTAGACAGAGGTGGGGGCAGAAATGTAAGAACCTTTGACGCATTGTTGGAACCTCCGTGTGGGGAGATGGAACCGGTGACCTCTGTGCTAACTACGGCACAACGGCAGCATCGACGTGCTCAGGACCTGTTCAGACATCACTCGCCACGGATCGTTAGCTGTGGCTGGGAAGCAAAGCCAAGTAACAGGGTTCACACATATACACACATTGTTTCAGTATTGCGTTTGGTCTGCAAATAATATCGGTACGTTTACATTGAAATGAATATTTTTGCCAAATAAAATACGGCCCCAGGACGAATGTGCAGACACACAGTGATAATATGCACCAGTTTAGTACAGATAACGTTGACCTAATGCCAATTATGACTTAATATTAGAGCTCACTTTTCAACTTGTTTTGTACATCTTATCGAGATACCTCTGTAGTTACATGCCATATATGTGGGTAATTATGGAACTCACAGCATTAGTTAATCACAATATCAAGAAGTAAAAAAATACTTTCCTTTGCATACAAAGACCTCCCATATAGTCTTAAATAGTCTGTTTGGGGCAAGTGCCATTAGCGAGCACGTACGAAGTCTGGATCATCGCATGTGAGGGTGGTGTGGCCAGAACCACGCCTGGTCGCCTTTATCTCCCCAGTGCTGATGTTTATAGACTTCACAAGTTACTTGTTTGAGGCTGAGTTGACCTAAGGGAGGCCCACCACTGTTATTGATCATGAGCGGGAATCAAACTCCCAAAGCCGAACACACACACACACGTACTTAATTGTGTTCCAGTCCCTGTTTTCACAGATTGACCACGACAAAAGCAAGGGCTCATTGGAACCGTGTTTTGGTGTGACCTTTGTGTGGGTGCAGATCGAAGGAATCCTGCCCTCCTTTGTCCACGAACAACCCCGGCCCCTTTGGAAATCCAAGTCTGCTTACAGCCCACACATTCGTCTTCGCGGTGGTAAATCGAGCGTGCTCTCAGCTGAAAGCTCCCCCCAAAGCTGATGTCCATTGCTGGCACAACAGTTCACACACACACACACACGTGCACACAGCATTGCCCATGTGACCCATTACAAGAAAAGTATTCCAATTAGCCTCATGTGCTCATAAACAAGCACCACTTCCCCCTACCCGCCACCCACCCGCCAACAATGCAACGTTTGTTGAATGTTTTGAAAACAGATACACTGTTCTTCTTCTATGAGAAGTCACATTAAGTTAAAAGCAAAAAAAAAACAAGCTCAATGTCTATTATGTCCACCTCTTGTGGTAACAAAAGTTCTGTTTTTGGAATCGTATGCAATTGTTTCACTGTGGTTTTTTCAGCACAGGTGATTGTATGGCCAGAGCAATCGCGCCGATCTTGTAAAGCTAGATGTTTAATATCAACGGATTATCCGAAAAACACATTTTAAATAAACAAAAAGATATGGATACTTTTATGCCTCATCTACACATTCTATCCTTGCGTGTGGCAATATGTTCAGTAGCTAACAGAAAATGTCAGGGTTTGCTGGCCACGAGAGGGCTTCACGGGAGCGAGTTTGTGTCGTCTTGCTGTTCCCCCCGTTGAATGAGCACAGACCACCGTGGTTTACTGGATGGCCCACAGTGTGGGTGACATCTCCCCAATCACACTGCGGCTTGGTGTCTTTAATTTCCCATTCATGGAGGAGATGTGCACATTGGCTTGTTGATGTTCCGATGCAGTTTATGGGAACACCAGTATTCTTCGAGGAATGTCAAAGTCAGGAGGTGTGCGATGATGTTTGGGTCTCGAATGAGGTGTTTGATCTGGATGTCCGCGTTGTTCCACTTCTGTTCGCACAACAGCGGCGTTCTTCCGGATCTTGGTGAGATTCTAGGATGGTGACAGCAGCAGCAGCAGCAGCGCGATCCCAGAGTGGGACTCGGGACTCGAGTCAATGGCGAGGAATATTGTTGAGGTCTTTGGTTGATGGATACGTTGTTGTTGGCAAGAAAACGTGTAAAATGTACATATCGATTGATGGGAGAAGGATAATTTTACTTCACTTGTTCAATTGTACAACTGGCACTAGGAAACGTAGCAATGGACTCATAACCTCAATCATTCAATGACAGTCATTATTCTTAAGCATTTGTACTTTTGAGTTGTTTGTAACTTAAAATTTTGCAATGCTATTGCGAGATCGTGGGGTGATGTCTTTGGTAGGCTGTCATCCAGCAGTGGGTTGATCATGGCCGCCGATGGGGATGCATGTAATTATGGGTATAGTTCACAATGGTATAGCCTACAAGCAGTTTTAAAAAGTGAGAATATAACAACATTCACTCAGTGCTATTGTGGATATTATTGCCAAAAAGAGGTCCCACTCCTAAACGGGAGTCTTGTCACGCCTCTGCTGTGTTCATATGTTTTATAACATTACGGGGGTAGTCGTGTTCTAGTGGTTAGTGCATTGCACAACTAACTCAGCGACTGGGAGTTGAATTCTTGGCAAAGGTTAACAACATTTGAGAGTGATATCTACACCAGTCCTGCACACCTCTCACTTCATCGACCCTTAATAAGCAGCATGGTGAAGTATGGTCAAACATCAGATATGACTGACAACAGAATGGCGCTTTGAGACATTTGTGAAATGTGCCTTGTAAGTGAAAATTCTTCTTCTTATTATTATACTGTGTAACAATTATTATTTTTTGTTCCTGGGTAGTAAGTGTTATTTCCTAATTGCTTATGCCTCAAAAGTAGAGAAAATTGCTATTATTCCCCACAAACTTTGCTTTTGTGACCAGGACAGTGATATTTTGAAATTGACCTATTTTCCAGAACATTCCAGATATATTCAGTGCTGAGTAAACTTGGAATAACTTCTAGAACATTCTAGAACTTTCCAGTAATATAAGTAATATAAAACATGCTCTCACAGTATATGCATTGTGTTGCATATACTGTCAGAGCATGTTTTCTGTTTGTTTTTTCAACACAAATATCTGTGCTTAATGCAGACATGATACCTTGTAAAAGGTTTCAGTTTGGTGTTTAACATCTTAAAACCTGTTTTGTTGCCAGAAAAAAGAGAAAACCTATTATTTTATGTGGAGCTGTTTGAGACTGGTGAAGAACTACGACACAATGGGTTGTAGGATGTCCCTCAAAGTCCATATCCTTGATGCTTATCTTGATAAATTCAAGGAGAACATGGGAGCGTACTTAGAGGAGCAAGGCGAGCGCTTCCACCAGGATATACTGGACTTTGAACGCCGCTACCAAGGACAGTATAACGAGAACATGATGGGAGACTACATTTGGGGGCTGATTCGTGAAAGTGCTTTACAGTATAATCGTAAATCTCGAAAAACTACTGCCTTCTAAATCTTTTGGAGTTATTTTTGTATTACTGTTGTATAAATACATGTACATGTTTATTCATATGCTGTGTTTTCTGACTTTATGTGAACGAAAAGACACATTCGCCCGTTTTTTCATTGAAAATAGGTACATTTCAAAATATCACTGTCCATATCACTGTCCTGGCCACAAAAGCAAAGTTTGTGGGGAATAATAGCCATTTTTAAATACTTTTTAGGCATAATCAATTACAAAATAACACTTACTACCCAGGAACAAAAATTGTGTTACATAGAGTTATTACGGGAAAGCTTTAATCAATCAGTGGGTTAATAAATAGTTGTAAAATTATTCATACATATTGCATGTATACATTTGAAACATATTAAATGTAAGTGTATTGTTAAAATCATATGTACATATAATTAACCTGCAACAGATTATGTAGAAGGATACGTCTTTACAAACATTAATTTTATCATTATTAATCATTTCCCGGAATGCATTAATATCGGTTGCTATATTTGCTATATCATCATCATCAGACATTATCGATCAACTGCTGGATCAAGGCCTCCCTAAGCTGTCACCATCTCTCAAGATCTCATGGTGCAACAATCCATCCAGCTTCATGCACAAGAGGTGATTTCATCGCTTCATCTATGCAGTGGATTTACCCTTGGGCATGTTCGCTCCGAATTTAGTTACGTTACTTAAACATTTTGAAATGCAGCTAACTGTATTATATGCTGGAGGGGAAAAATTAATCAAGAGATAACACATCGACTATAAATTAGGGATTATAAGAGAGCAAGTAAATGAGAGTGATGGTTTCACAGACACATTGTACAAAACGAATTGAGGGAGCCACTAAACAAGATGATATGGACTATTTTTAATAGGTGAAACAAATACATAAAAACACATTCCAGCTTTAAATTCCACACGAGAAGAGTCGAGCACAGAAACCCATCACCACTTGGATTCGTGGTGCCTTCATAGAAAAGCATGCCCCATGAATGTATTCAGGAACTGAAGAAGCTCCCAGCACATGCAGTGAAACGTCGGACATCATTCTAAACAACGCGCGATACAACACAACAACACACTGGAGAACCGCATGGAACAATGCCATAACCTACGCAGCAGTGCGTAAGGTCTGAATACATGCACAATGTGAGCAATTTCACTTCACGGACACCGTCCGCTATCATTTGCGGCTGCACATTCAACGTTGCACGCACCCAGAGGACACTGCGGCATTGTAAGGAAATGTTAATTGCCCAATTTGACACAATTGCCCACATTTAGAAAGAACAGCAGGAATGGCTGAGATGTTAATAATCCGCTGTAACCAGGAGCCCAGGGCGGGGCATTCCGATGCTGCCACCACCGCCACTGCCGCCGTGCGTGGCGCACGGAGCCTACACACGCGGATATCTCGGCTGGCACCGGTCCATTCCCACCGTCCGCTCCAAGCACTCGGCATGGCTCCACTCAGTTAATTGCCAGTCACCCCCCCCCCTGCCCCTCACCCACCCATAAGGCTGATGACACATGATGAGGGGCACAGCGGGCTCCATCGTTCTTCTCTGACGTTAAATTAATGTCGTTGGCTGGGACTGTTTTCAAACAATGTCTTGTTGTTCTCTCTTACAGTGCTTCACTTCAACAAAAAATATTTGTAATTTTAACAGGTAAGGCCCACTGAGCTGTATAACTCATTTTCTGAAGCGACCTGGTCACAAATTATAGCTCAATGAAGTGGCCTATCGTGTGGGATTTATAGCAGCCAAATACTCTAAACGCGTGTTTGTAAATGTTGGGGAAAAACCGGAGGACCCGGAGAAAAAATCCACACGAACACGGGGAGAACATACAAACTACAAGCATACAGGCGTCAGGGTCGGGATCGTTAACATCTGGCCTCTGCGAGATGTTAACTACCTCGCCTTCTAAATGGGAGGTCCCATTTATAGAAGCCATAGGCAAGAGCCCACTTAGCCCATGGGCTAAACCCGGCTCTCTGACCATGTAACGGTTTAGGGCCACCGCCTGTAAGTGAAAGGGTAGAAGATATTTCAGGAGCCTGCTGGCACGGGGGGCCTCGGCGTGTTTCGCCCCCGTGATGCCGCAATCTTAATCGAGCGATGGCCATCATTCTGGCGACACGTCCTTCTCACTTTCACACGCACCCAGCATTCCATGGCTACCGAATGCGTGGAACCCTCTCAACGCCACAGCCATGCCACTGATGCCAGGTGTCAGTGGCAAAATGTGTGGGCCCTGTTTTTTTTTTAAGCGACCCTTGCTGGGAATCTGTCAATGTCAGGCCAGACGCCTTATCAGCAGAGCCTGTGAATGGATGGCTGATAACGTTATTGTTTTTCCATTTCAGAGAAGGGTTGAAGAGAAGGCCTCTTCATGCAAAGTGTGTCTTGGGAAAACAGATGCTCTTTTTGAAATCTACAAGCATTAGTGTCAGGCTCACTTGAATAATAAATTCGTAGTTTGGCATGCAACGTTCTGGTGATCTGTAGTGTCCTTAATTGTAGAACAAGCCTGGGATTAGTTTACTCTTAGATCTTTCATGGTGCAGACATTCAACTGATAGAGGCTTAGAGTAAAGCAATGTAGGCTCTACATTTAAGCATTTATTGTTGTATGAGTTATTTTGTAGCGGTGCTTTCAATAATTGCAGTTGCACAAACTTTATACGAAATAAATGTTTAACACATTGCAGGTGCTAATACAGAAAATATTATTTTAACTAAATTTTACTTGTGTAATTCATCATGCGATTAAATATTATTACTATAAACATATGATTGTTTGTTTATGTCATGGACCATGCATGGTTAATTAATTTATCCGATTAAATTATTTTGAGACATTCCCTGCATGAAAATATGTAAAAGTATAAAAAAAAACAATTCTACATGGATCTCAGTATATGCACACACTGGTCATATGAACTAATACGGTTTAGTATTGACTTTATGTTTTAATAACTTAGAAAGTCCAGAATTATTTGGTTGCGAAGAAAGACTCAACTCTTGATCATCCGGCTTCCACCAGTTTCATACTTTTCTACTGTATTCAACCAACATATAATTGCAGACGCAGAAACATTCAGTGTCATATATGAGTCATGCTTGAATTTCAGTGGATATTTTATATCTTTATAAAAAGCACACATCAAAGACAAATATTCCCCGTGTAGACTTTAACAGACTGTTGGGGCAAGTGCTGTTAGCGAGCGCCGACAAAGGCCGGCACGGCACAGAAGGAGGTGGGTGGCCAACACCACGCCCGGCCACCTTTGTCTCCCGAGTGGTGATGCTTTACACGCCGTACCAGGTACTCATTTGAGACTAAGTCGACCTAGGGGAGGCAAAGGACCGGTTTAGATAATCGTCACCGTGTTGCCCGTGAGCGAGATTCGAACTCGGATCGCCGGGTTCGTAGCGCAGTGCACAAACCGCTACACAACCGCTCCGCACACATTTCTGTGTATATTTTATATCTGTATAAAAAAAGCGCACATTACCCACACACATATACATTTACACAGAGCATACCAATGTTTAGTCTACAGAATGTGTGCAGGCAGACCACTTAGCACCGGATTGTTATGCCTTGCATTCTGCGAGATACACGGATTCCAAGCCCCAGAGGGCCAAGGCATGGGGGCTGGGCAGTGGATTCAACTCTACCTGCCAGCCCACACAGCACGGTAAGCACATCCACCCACGAGGCGCATCACCGTCCATAGGGGCTGTCCCTGTGGAAGCAAGTGTGCAACGTTTCCATCAGCACCCACGATTTGATGAGGCGCCTTGCTCCTGCACTCTCATTCGTGAGTGCCCTCTTTACAGCAGGGAGCAAAACAAACTCTTGCCACGATGGTGCACCCACTGGCTATCATTGGAGGCACTGCCATTGATAGCGACGCAAAGCTTACGATTGAAATATCTGTCTCTTAAGTGTAGTGGTATACATTAGTGGTTCCCCGATCTGTGGATCGTGGATAACTGTTAGTCTGCAAGACCGTGCGAAATGGTCTTGCCAAACTGTTGTAGATGCTACAATTTAGAGGAGTTATAATCTTTAATGATAAGTTATTGATGAATGGCGGTCTGCAAAAAAAAACATATTTTGACGGTGGTGCACGGGTCCAGAAATGTTGGGAACCACTGCTCTGCGTTATGGAGTCAAAATCAGCACGAGGTGCGTGCTCACTGCGGGTGTAATAATGCATCGAGTCTCCAATATTGATAATTAAGCCCGTTACACTTCCCCGACAGTGGCCGAGTGGTTAAGCACTAGACTTTGTGAGCCCAGTCACGTGAGGTGAATTCCTAGGCATGGCGAATATCAGTGATGAACGAGATCTGATCCAGTCCTGCCGCCTTGCCTTCATCAACCCGCATTGACCAGTGTGGTAAAGTATGGTCACACAACCACCTACAATGAGGGTAACTTCATTCTTGACAAAGGGCTGTCATTTTACGATTATGGGCCTGGGGAGGACACGTCACAAGAAAGGATGATCACTGATAGTCAGGAATATAATAGCGACCAAGAGATGGATCACATCTGAAAGGATGTCGACGTAGGTTTCTTATATATTTTTTTTCTAGCCAGGAGATTAAATAAACGCATGAGACACGTGAAAAAATAGTGCCGCTTTTGAAAGGACGACCTTGGTTACATCAAAAACAACTTAAGGACACAATATATATTTTATAATTTCAAATTGCACAAAATGTGATCAAAGTAGTTGAAACAATGGTGAAAGTTAACCTCCAACCCATCTGTATGCATGGACACGCCACAGGTTGTGTGCGTTGGAAAACTGTGTGGGTACTCTCGTCTCTTCCAAGACGTTTGTCCAGTGTGAAGGAGTAGGCCACATACCCTCGACTGCTCTCTTTGAAGGGGCTCTCTAGCACTCTCTGTAGTGGGATGCCCTTCCACCTGCAGTGATGTGAGCACGAAATTGCAGGGTTGCCCCTTTAATTTTACTGTATATATTCAATAAATCGGTTATACCAAATTCCTGTTTCATGATTTACATATCAGTGTGTTTCTGCTGTGCGCTGTTTGAAAAGGTGATTTAGTCTAAGTCTCAGCGCCTGAGCTCTTAACACAGAATTCTCAGAATCATAACACTCCCCAGCACAAGGCTTTCACTGTGATGTGAAATCCATATTGTTTATAAATCTGGCAAAGGTTCTTTGCTCGGTCTCAAATCTGCCAAAACACACGTGAATAATGACGACCTGTGGCAATCACTGGGATTAAACAAAGGAAGAAAACCTTGTTACACAACTGGACAACAAGAGTAACATTTTCACTGTGGAAGATGGAGAAGTCCGTGATTCATTTGCTTAAAATAAACCACATGCCTATAAAATGGTACAAAAATAGAGATTTCCTAAATCGGTAGTGAACCCTTTCATTTTCAGAATTTGTGGGTAGCTTTCCTCATTTCAGGGTTTTAGGTGAAAGTTAAGGAATTGAACATCTATAGGGACGAGACTCATGTAATAACAATCGACCCAGGTGGCTACTGCCAATATCAATGAAGGCAACGGTGCAGCCCCTGCCAATGCGTTGTCACATCACCGCTGGCGGAAAGGGATTCCACTCAATTGAGCTCAAAAGAGCTCCTCCAGTGGGAATCTGGTCTCCTTTTCTACGCTCGCCAGACAACTTGGAACAATTGTAAGTAACCACGCCTTACCGCACCGTACACAACCTGTCGATCAACTCACTGTGGTGTACCCATTTGTAATGCTGGGTAGACAGAGGAAGGTGTGTGGGGGGGGGCATTTTATGAATCTTGCCTATTAGTTTCACTGCCATGGCAGGAGTACGAACCAACGGACCTGTGGATTTGTAATACAGCAATGTGTGGCCCAGTGGTCATCGCACTGCACTGTGCACCCTGAAGTCGATTCTTAACCACAGCTACCATCAGTAGTGGTTGCCAATGGAACCAGTCCTGGGTGTCCTTCGCTCCACCAACCTGCACTGGCCAGAATAGTGAAGTATGGTCAATTGCAACCCCCTTAACCAACAAGGCGTGGGGGGCCTTTTCCTGCCATTGTATTTATAAAGGGTTGTTCTCGACCAGTATTCATCATTTATGAGCCATAATGACAAGTCAATTAAGTTAATAATTTACTGTAGAATCCTTAACAATGGCCCTTTGAATGTTTTCAATTAGCACACTTTTTTAACTTACATACAGCTTTGTTTACAAGGAAAGCGTCATTAAGCTGCACAGTTTTTTTTTATAAGAAAGAGGAACCCTGCTTCACCTTTTAACCTGCACTGCAGGTCTTCATTACTGGCGGTTAATTTGCCAGCAAGCGACATGTTTACGGGTCACGCCATGGGTGTATGTGTTGGTGAATGTAAGCCACGAACCCCGGCGACCCCAGTTCGATTCACGCTCACGGCCAACACCAGTGACGATTATCTAAACCGGTTCTGGGCCTCCCCTAGCTCGACTCAGCCTCAAATGGGTTCTTGGTGTGGCGTGTAAATATCGCTACTAGGGAGACACAGGCGGCCGGGCGTGGTGCTGACCACCCACTCCCTCAGGTGCCGTGCCATCCTTCGTAGGCGCTCGCGAACACCACTTGCCCCAATAGTCTGTTAAGGCTATTCGGGTGATATTTGTTTTGTGCGTGTGTGTTTGTTATATTGCTAACGCTACATATCCATCTCACTTATATGTGCTTTTTATTAACTATGCATTGCATTGGTTTCTTTTGCACTGAAGTGTATGCATGTGTGTGTGCGGTCCTTTGGGATGCTTCCCGTGATGAAAAACCTACTCTTCGTGTGCACACATGCCCATCGGTGTGGGTCTCCCGGCCTTTGCAAAGCATAAACAAACGGTGGGATGTTGATGCTTTTGGCATAGCCAGAGAGGGCCTTTTGGCAGAAAGCATTCGGTCTGCAGGGAAGCGAGGTTACCAGGCAACATGACCTCGGCACAGACAGAAAGAACTTGCTTCAGGCAACATTTCTGCGGTCCCTTGCTAGGGCTTCTACAGTGCATTGTTCATCAATGGAATGCACAAGTAGTGTAGACATAATCATGAATATATTCCAATATGCATGAACATCTGCATATCACCAATGATAGGTAAAGGATTGAGAGTGTTGTTGCCTAATAATGTGTTGATTCATAATGGACCTAAACAGGTGTATACCTCTAAAACTTTCAATGATATATGTTATGCCTGGCAGCACCACGTAAAATCATTTGACTATTTAGAATGTTTTAGGTTCATTATGCAATCTCACTGTCTTGGAATAGTGGCTTCTTTTTTCATCCATGGGCTCACTTTTTTTTATTATATCCGACGACTCAGATAACAGAATTAAAATTAATTCACAAATAAAATGTGAAAAGATGTGAAACAGTGTTTTATAGCTGTCATTGTTAATAGTTTGACAACAGGCTGAGGGTAGTAGTACTTGAGAAGGCACTAGCTTGTCTTTGAGTCTCAGGACCCAAACAGTGAAAGGTTTACTAAGGTGTCGGCAACTGTTCACGATGCTATTGCCTGTTACAAGTTGATTTCACGAAGATAAGAAGAAGAAGAAGAGAGCAACTGTGCAGACATCTCTTGCTAAAATTTTCAAGAGAGGAAACACGAGCACCAAAGGGAATTAGCATCTACGTCTATAGAACATAAAGAACCAGTGGCACATCTACATCTGCAGAGCATGAAGAGCCAGTGCATATATATACAGGAGATTATACAACTTTTACAGCCATTCCACGTGTTCAGTGTACACGCCGTACAACATGTTTGGAATCGACAGGAGTAAAGTTGTACTTACGAACAAATCGACACGAACAGGCCTCTGGAACCTAACTCGTTCATCAGTAGAGGAGTCCCTGTATAAACTATTACTTTCGCACCATATATGGCGTATATCCAATCTCTCCAAATGGGCACAATTTTGTGCCTGGATAATGCTTTTGTGTGTGACCAACATGCACAAAAGATAAGTCAATTGAAATCGTTTTTTTGGGCAGCGCAACAAGTTCCACTGTTGTTCTGCGTCCCCCCACCTCTATCAGCTTGCACTGACCAGCGTGGTGAGCGGAATGGTCAGATGTCGCTCTTGGCTCACAAACAGGAGGGAGTTCCTCATCCAGCAGTGGATTGACACACTGGCTGTACATGTGCTGTAGATATGTTGTGTGTGGCCTCTGTCCATATATTTACGAGACCTGCCATTCAGAAAGGTTATATTGGGCGGTTTGGAATTGTTGTGTACAATTCTGCAGCGTGGGTGTCTTTAAGGCTGTGCCATACTGTCTTTTGAACTCGTCTTGTTATATCTGACGACAGTACGGGTTTTATGTCATTGTGAATGTGATATAATTATGCTAAGCTGGGTATAGAAACGGAGTGCTTCAAGTAATCCCTAGCTCAGTTACATTCGAATGAGAAAAAGATGGGTGGATGAAAAGATGTATGTGCTAATGGTCACATGGAGGGTTCGACAGAGGGGGGGGGGGGTTTGTTTAATGATTAAATGACGATACAGTATAAATAAATGTATTGCATATTAATAACAATCTAGGCACCAACAGCATTTCCTCATGCTGACATCATGATTCCCATGCAGCCCTCGACATCAGAACTGTAACCGTCTGATTCATTTTCGTTGTGCTCTTTTAGTGATGTATTTGAATTGCTTATTTTCTTTTTAAATATCTACTATATATATTTTCTCAGTGCATGAAAACCCCGGATTTGTTTTACTGCCAGACAGCGTCCATAATAAACTTTTGTAATAATTGTGTGCTCTATGAAAAGGGCATTTATTTGTGATAGTCTACAATGCACAGTGTCAGCCAGCTGTTCATGCAGAATGGAATTTGATGATTTTTTTTCGATTTAGTTTTATGGCTGAGGCAGTGTCCTCTAACTTGGTGAAAGTGCAATGGCCCCACGTTTATTTGGTAGCCGGGTCAGGGTTAGAGGTGGTGACTTTGGCTACGCGCTTTAGGCTCGTCTTTAATGGCTTGGTGTCGAGTTTGCATTGGTTATGTACGAGCAAGCAGCAAGCAGCAAGATCCGGCCACCCGCAATTATAATTAACATCAGAGCAGCTGGAGAGAATACCAGCAGTGTGTCCCAGTCAGCAACTCTAGCTCCTCGTGTGTAGGATTCACAGCATAGCAACACATATTCTAGTTGCAGGAATGTTGTATTACAACTTAGAGGCACGTCAGCTGGTTCCCTATACTGTATACTTAAATTACGATGATTATTTTTCTGTTAAAGATTATACTTAAGAACATAATTATGCACCCCTCCTCCACCGAGGCAATTCGATTATCACCATTCAGATTTGTGATCTGATTGAACTGTAGTGGCCTCTGGTGTCTGTTGGGGTCACATAAATCCGCTACAATGTATACCAAGAAAATGTGATTCTTGCTTTTCCATACCTGTATCATGAGCTTAATAATACAGTAGATGAATCGACGCATTGTTTCACCCCCAGTGATAATCGTGAAAAGTAAACCCGTCATGTATTTTCCTAGTTTATTAATGGAATTGGCTAAACAGCTTTTTGCAGGATCCTCCTGAAAGAGTCATAAATTTGTGCAAACAAAATATGCGCAACCTGAAATGCCTCTTCATGTGTGCAATGTGAATAAATGAGGTTAATTTTTTGTTAAAACACAGCAAGGGATAAAGGTGAATAATATGCAACATGTCATTGGGGATCTTATTGGCAATCAGCAACTGATAACGCAAATGAGTTCTGCACAAATAGCAATACATTTTCCGGACAATTGTAAGCATCTGATGATAATAGATTTTGCCATGTGTTGTAATTACCACACTTTTTTTTGCCTAACGTTAACTTGGACGACTAACCACTGAGCATGGAGCTGGGGGACCTCGGGGGCCTCTGATTGGCTCGTTGGGCCCTCTGTGACCCATGACCCTTTGAGGAAGCGGCGTTCGGGGCAGCACGGAGTGTGGGCCCTCCCTCGACTTTCACAACAGAAGCCCCGCAAGTCGTTTGCCTGTTTATTCAAATACTAAAAAAAACATCATATACTGTGTATATATAACTATACATGCATTGCTGTACAAGTGGTTGCCTCTTTTTGTAAACATCCCCAACGGAGGGGATATGGTAATGCAGGCTCGTATTCGGCTGAAGGCAGCGAAGGAAAGGTTTGTCATGACAACTCCACTGTGTACATTTGCATACACAAAACATAATTTCACTACGTTGTTATTACTTAAGGACATTATTTTGTTTAAAGATTTTGCATACTGGTTTAAAAGGCGATTTTTGCATGTCCAGTTTAGACTTGCCTATACATACTGGAATTATAATTATGGTAATGCAGAGACCGTTGTCAATCCACTGCTGGATGAGTCTCCTCCACACGTATCAGTCACGAGGATTGTTTGACCATACTTCACCACGCTGGTCAGTGCGGGTTGGTGATGGGGGTGGTTGGGGGGGATGGGAGATGTCTGGTTTGGATATCACTCGCCACTGATGTTAGCCGTGCCCCGAAATTGGATTCCGTGTGTGAACCACTGTGTCACCCACCACTAAGAGATCGTAATTATCCCTAATTGTGTGTGTGTGTGTTGCAGACCTTCTATGACATTGCGTGCAAACGCAATAGGCCTTCAAGCACTCTGTGTGTGTGTTGCGTACAACGATGAGCGAGGCTTGTGGATCGAGCAGAACCGCCGAGGAAGCAGGAGCCCCTGCACAGATGCCTGATGATCCTGGGGGAGGAAAGGGCCCCGTGGATGTGGTGGGTGAAGGCCACTCTACTTGCATATCCGCCGTGTGTAAGGCTCATCGAAGCCTCAGGAGCAGTGGTTTTATTAACCTTCATTGCAGCTCTGCACGCCTTTGGCTCTCAATCGTAATTTTTTAAAATAATTTTAATAAATGCAAAGTGTTTGATGAAACAAAGTAGTTGTAATTACGTGGCCGTACTTAATTGTTTTTCGATTATTTACCTTCTAGAAAAATCTGGCCATGCCTCGCACCCCCCTGGCATCTGGCACCCCAGGTTAAGAACCACAGGTCTGGAGCTATGCACTTTTAAATCTAGATTGAAAACTAATTTGGTTAGAACTGCTTGTTGTGTGCGTTAGCTTGTCCTTCCCCCGCACATAGCCAATTCGCACGGTTGGCTACGTATGGTGCGAAAGAAGTTCAACATACAAAGTATGTTTGATTCACCGTGTGCACGCACCCACACGACACGTGTGTAATCCCTCAACAGTTGTACGCCGAGTGTCCTTCAAGCGAATTCTGAACCGCACAGGAGACGAGGCTTTCGCCACAACCGCTCTGCATACGAGAATAATGTTCGTCGCAGGACAGTAAAACCGATATGTATTTCTCAGTCTATAATTGTATCGAATTTGAGCGCAGAAACAATCGTAATCTTTCGTGCAGTCTTTGCTTATTTTGTTGAGAGAGTGTGTGGGCATGTGAGCAATCCCATGCCTATTGGATACTTTCATCAAGCCTTTTTCCTACTATTATTATTATCCACAACCACAAATAAAGCGTACGATCTATTTGAGAAACCGCATGCATCTCTCCGTGTTTCACTGTTCTTAATCAGTGTCCATGATGCTGATCCATGTGTCATAGCTTGTAATACACATTACCATTTCTCTGCTGTTGACATGATTGAGTTCAGCGTCCCATAAGCGATCCAATGCACTATAATGTGATCGTCTATTTTGCCCTCGCTGCCTTTTAAAGTTGTATCATTCCGGAAAGCTAACTCCAATTGTTTGCCTAAATTGTTTTACACAAATATAGTTTTGCTCATCTTTACCTATACATCACTAAATTCTAACGTTTTCTGTAGTTAATTCTCTGTGGACGTTATTATGACTTTTCAGGAAATCTGAGCTGGTTAAGGTTTATTTCCCATTCATATTTATGCCATTGTTTTTCCAAGCCACCTTCTCAAACGTCTTCCATTTTGTTACTCTAAATAACTTTGGTCAAAGCGTGCCATCTTATCTAATTCCCAGTTTAAAATGCATTTTGGTACTTGGTTATAATTTACTTATTTATAAGTATTGAACATACACAGTATTACGATGTAGATTAATTAATTGTCAATGATAGTAACAAACAGAATAATTTGATTGTGGTTACAACAGCAGCAGGATTTGAGGCTTGTGTCACTGTGGTGTGTTTGTGTTTGCAGTCGGTGATATTACCAGTGCATAATGCAGCTTGCTGGCTCGATCATTGTCTGCAAGGTCTAATGGCCCAGGACTTTGAAGGAAGCATGGAGCTCTCCGCATTTGATGATGCCAGCACGGTGAAGTCTTTTAATTCTTGGTTAAAACTCGGATCCCACATTTTATTGTAATGTACAGCAAATCCTTCCCTCTTGCGAGTTTAGCCATCACGTTTTTTGCGGTTTTCGGCCAAGTTTACTGAGGTACAGTTTGCTGATCTCGATCCTGTTGCTAGACCGTTTGCAGTTGACTGAGATTCCTGTACGCATTGTAACTGTACTGCATGCGATGATGCTGGCGCGGAAGAACACACACCATCTTGCCTCGATCTGGTCTCAGTCTCGTCTCGCACGTGGGCCATCTCGGGTCCCAGGTCACGCGGTGTTCCCAGCCTCCAGTGAGGTTTCGCCACACGATTTTTCTTCCTGTAGTGTACCATACTGTACACATATCCATGGACAATGCCAAGCAATATTTTTCATTCAATGCATTTACCCCACAAGTTTTATTTAACACTGGAAAATATTATATTTTGCATTCAAAATACTTCCTGTTTAATGTTTGGGTTGATGTAGGGTAACATAAAATTAAAGGAAGGGCTGTCATATTATGAACAGTGAACCAATCCTCGAGTTTTCCCATGTACCTTGAGTTGCGGATCGTGGATTTGCCTATCATGGATTTGCAAATTGCGGTGATTTTCAAGAATGTAACCCCCGCGATGGGCATGGGCTTGCTGTATATTCAATTGCATGTTATGTTGGCAAGGTCTTATTTGGTCCAGCAAGTAAATCAATGGAACAGTTTATTTGAACAATGTTTTTGCGTTATTCATAACAATCATGATTTGTATGTATATTATCAATTTCGGTCATATATATCAATATAAATCAGAGTGCTTGTCTTTTTATGAAATGTGTAACATTGGTAGATTGAGTAATGAGATGACTTGATGTGTATGAAGAGGATCATGCAACATATTCATTGTATTGACATTTAGTTTTGGCAAAATGTCTTTGTTATTGCAAGCAACTGTCATTTCAGTTTAACAAATTTAACTCACTAAAAAGCCTTCATTCGTTTTCTCTCTCCTGTTAAACGAATCAGCACTGGAATACTGCTCACATGAATAGACATTGAAATGGATTTTTCTATTAAATAAATGGAAAAATTAAATTTTTTTATATACTGTTTTGGTCAGACGTATGCAATAAACAAAATAAAAATGTACGCGGTCAAACGGTCAGTAAATACATTTATTGGCTTTTCATCTTTCCATGAACTCATTATACATTTTGCTGCAACTAATTTTCCCGTATATGCCAAGCAGTATTAAGTGGAAATATTGCAATGTGTATTTTATTACTATTTTAGACCGGCTGGTAATAATATCTTTCTTTTTTGTGGCTGAAATTTAGGACAGCTCTCTGTGTATTTTGGAAAGCTGGCGTGAAAAGCTAAAAAAGAGAGGCATATTGGTGGTGGTCAGAGGCCACAAATCTTCCCAACCAAAGGGCGGTAAGTGCTGTGCTTTGGCAAGAATCTTAGACTTTTCTGGAACAAAATAAACTCACTTATGTTACATGGTGGTAACCGGCAGCGTAGAGTGAGGATAACAACAAAACCAATCTGAACAAATATTGAGAAGCAAATGCAAGAAATACTGTCAAGGCCAAACTTTCTTGGATACACCACCTAGCCTAGATTTGCCAAAGCACCCTTGCATATTATTCTTGGCAGGTACATTTCAATATTGTCATCTTGAATGGTAGATAGACTCATGTCACGTGTCATTCATGCGGATGTCTTGCCACCACATTTTGCATTATCTGCTCGTGTGATGCTTTGGCCTTGGTAAAAATGTGGCACAACAAATCGCAAACGCCTTGTCCAACACTCCAAAAAACATTCCAAAGGATATTTGACGGTGTTGTTAGGACACTGAAAGTTACTTTTCAAGCCGCAGCTTTGGAAATGTAATTATTAATATATATTTAGAGTATCATGAATGGATCAGAAGTGTTCCGTCCCATCGTGCCAAACTAATGTGCCCCACAATTCCACACTGATGTGCATCGTTTAACACTGTGTGGCAACTGATCAATCTGCATGAATTCCATTTTTTATATATATATATTGCAAGGACTTTTAAAATCAATGTTTTCATCTTTACTCATACAAAGTCTCTAATGTAACAATCCACCAAGCTCCTGCACATGATTTCATTACTCCCAATTTCACGTGGTTTTGTTAATCACTTTAAAATTACCTTTAAACTTTTGTTGGTTGATTTATTTCCAATGACTCTTTGTTTTTTTCAGTAAAGTCACGTAGAAGTAAAATAAAATAATTCATGAATACGACGTTTTGATTGCAACACAAGCAACCGTCATCAGGAAGAACTAAATTTGAGAGACAAAACACAGACACGGAGATACACAGACAGACACACAAGCAGAGAGAGACAACACAGAGAGACCCAATGCCCCTGTGTCGAGGCCTTAAATAGAGAGAGAGAGGGGGTGGGCAGAGAGAGAGGTGGGTCTGTTGGGGCAGCTGCTGAAGCAGAGAAATTAGCATGTCAATGAAAGACCCAACAAGATTGGTACATTTTAGATAGGAGTTGTGTGGAAATCTACCCCGAAGCGACCGAGGGAAAGAAAGATCGAAGTGCCCTATGAGAGCCTGGTAAATTTTAGAGAGAGAAATAGGCAGTTTGAGAAAACAAAATGTGGCAATTTTTTTGGGAAATGTAATGCAATGCAACACAGAGAGTCGGCTAACACAGTTAACAACAACAAAAAGGCATTTTATTTTCAATTGTTGTTTCTCACATTCTTCAGTGGGATTTTCCAAGAACCAGGCCATTGCACAGAGTTCGGGCTGTCATCTGTGCTTTCAGGATGCAGTAAGTTTTGCAATGACACCATTGCACACACGGAGCAATAGAATGCAAATATTCAGTAGAAATTTATGGGTGTGACAGAAAGAAATGGTTGTGCATTGTTTGTGTAGTCTCGGGTCATGCTTAGAATGTGGAGTTTTAATTTAGACCCTGAGCTTTGGCGCACGCTGAAGAGACTGCCCTTCAGCTTGACTGTATTACATGAGAAACCAACTGATGATTTAGAAGTCTCATTGTGGTGATGGGAAACAACCACCCAATGTGTATCTTTATGGATCAGCACAGAGGCCCTTTATTCATTTTTCCTTACCCAATCAAAACTGTAAACTCAAAAAATAAATGGATCACATGTGCACATCTTTATTTGAATTATCTTGGAGAACACATCAAATGCAACAACAAAAGCCATTTTTATTATTACATGCTTTTTATTAACTCACTCTGTTGTATCCTCAAATCTTGTAACTCAAAATTTACCCACTTCCCAATGTGGTATCGACTGCAAACTTGGTATACTTATGTCATACTGATGACAATACTATTTTTTATAATTACAATTTTTAAATAATATATTTTTAAACATTATTTTTATATGTTATGTTTCGGCTTGGGTCTAATTGTCCACGCTCAACTGACGTTGGCTGTAAACCACCACGGTCCCTTACGTTATGGCAAGCTTCTGGGCCACTTCCTGGAGTCGTGGAGTTCTGCCATTACTAATACGGTACATTTAAATAAGGCGTGTTTTAAAAAAAGTTTGTTTAAAATATTACTTATTATTTTTGCCTAATTTTGAAAATCGTAATTATATGAAAATGTTACCATCTTCCTGTATGATAGTTCATTGACATCAGCCATGGTCAGTCCACTGCTGGATTAAGGTCTCCCCAAACTCGTGATCCTGTGATATAAGAATCCACCTGGCACCTGCACACCAGCTGATTTGGTGGTTATTTGGTTATGTGGCTAAAAGCTGCATGCCTACCTGTATATGTGGCTCACCTTGAAGCAAATTCAATGTATTTGTCAGGCAAAACAATTGTATTGATATATATTTACAGGAAAATGTATATATATTGTTCAAGTAAGAAACATATTTCCAACTTCTGTAATGGTCTCTTAAGTTTTAGACTTGACCAACAGTTCCTGGGGGCAGTAATTGTAAGAAGTTGAATATTACATACTATAGAGTTATATATTACATATCCATTTAATTAATGGTCAAATAAAACAGGTAATATATTGTTTTGCTTTTTCGATTTACATCCATATTAGGTTCATTATGCGTGTAAGCAAGGAGCAGAATTTAAGGGGACTCATAATTATTTTGTCCTCTGACTCACCCCGCAGTCAATTATTAGCAGGAGTTCAAGAGTGGCAATTTTCACACGGTTTAAATGCATGCCGCGCCATTAATTGTTCATATTTCCAGAAAGAGCCAGCCAGCTTGTAATCGTGTGTGCACAACATCCTTGCCCTGTTTAACTGGCGCGTTTTATTTGGAAAGTCTTGAGTAAATGCTATAAAAGTCGTGCTTTGGCAACTTATTTTACAACACAAATTATTCATCTTTTCCACAACACGGGTACGAATGGAGCTTTGTGCGGTGACGATTGCCAGTAGGAATAGAACTGGATCCTTGGATTTGAGAGTTTGGTGGAATTGAGAAAGTACAGGCGAAGGGAGTGATTAAGTGGAGCACATTAGGAGAGAACAATGAACTCTTGTCAGTATTGTATACATAAGCAGTGCAGAACAGAGGTGCAAAGCAGTAATTATAGCATTTACGCTTACATAATACATGGCGTGGGGTGGGGCAGTGGCGTATTGGTTAGCGCACTGGTATTAACCCAGCATCAATGGTAAGTGATATTGAACTGGTTATTGAGCCCCATAACATCAACCCACACTGACCAGTTTGGTGCGGTGTGGTCAAGTGACCCTGTGACCGAATTGGTGTGGGCAAGCTTTCATCCAGCAGTGGATTGAACAAGTCCTTTGAATGCACTTGTTTTAATATTATTGCTTACACGAACGTTATTATAACCAAATGAGAGTTCATTGAGACTCAACAATTTTTTGTAATGAAGACATGGGGTACAGAGTTAGATTTAGATTATTTTTGTTTAATATACGTGTTTATAAACTCATCATAACGGTGTCAAAATTAAACCGTGTACATTTTTTGAAACGCGTAAAATCTCTGTTGTTTTTTGGCTTAATGTTCGACTTCACTTCTGTGCTTCAACTGTCTATTTTTAAATGCGTGCATTTTTTACTTTAGGATGACGTCATGATGCCAGAAAGGATAAGACTCCAGTACGAGGCTGCTCAAAATCACCCCGGGGCAGTGAGTGTTCTGTGTGTGCACCCAGCTTTCATAGCTTTGTATATCCGTTAGCTAAATATTTAAAGCGAAGCACTAATGCACTCTTGCAGAAGGTCAGCATTTAAGTTAAAATGCCTGACTCACATTTAGAAAGTTGCGGGTTCAATTCCCTGAGTCGACTCGATCATCATCTCTACATGGTTGATAAAAAAAATTACGACTATTTTTACATTAAATTAATAATGATTATCCTGTGACTAAATATATCCCTGAATTGGCAATGTGGAATTTTGACAGCTGGCTAAGGCCAGCACTGAAGGTGACTGGCATACCAGCAACCGCTGGGAGATGCTATGACTTGATTTTCCAAGATGAAATTTGTACGAGCTTGGGTTGGAGTAATGATTTTATTATCGTCTGTTTTCTAAATTATTGTTATGTTATGATAATTATCGTTGCTCGTTTTATATAAAAAAATATTTTATCTCATGACAAAATATTAATAATGTTAAATTAAAAGGTGTTAATCAATGTTGTAGCCATTGCCATTTCAATTAGTGCTTTACAAAACGTGTTTCAGAGTTGTTGAAGTCTTGGCGTTCATACTATTCCATAATAGTCTTTGAACATTTTATGAATTAAATCTTGACTTAACGCTTTCGTGACTGCTGGAATTCATACTCTTTGGGTCTTTCGGTAAAGTCGCATAGATAGAAGAAAAATAAAATAAAAATCACGATGTTTTGATCGCAACACAAGCAATCACTTTCAGGTGAAAAAATACAGCAGTCAGCCTGCTGTTGTGAATTTTTGTTATTTAATTATTTTTATATCTACATGACTTTACCCAAAGAGTATTTTATGAATTAGTTACATAGCGTGTGACTACATTTGCTTTGATCAGAAAATGCATGGCAGGTTTACATTGAGTGAACTGCAGTTGGAGGATCTTTCAGCGAGCTTATTTTTACTGGAGATAAAGAAAAGTGCAGAGCAAGGCCATAATAATGCAAAATCCATACTCTTTGGTTCTTTCGGTAAAGTCACGTAGAAAATAATAATAAATCACGACGTTTCGATCTCCACACAAGCGGCCGTCCTCTTTCCCACCTGAGGACGATCGCTTGTGTGGCGATGGAAACGTCGTGATTTATCATTATTTTTCTACGTGACTTTACCGAAAGAACCAAAGAGTATGGATTCCTGCAGTCACGAAAGCTTCAAATCAAGAATGCAAAATACAATTACAGAGTTATGGGAAAGTGATAACGCGATAAATTGTAGTGTCGTAAAAAAATAATATTGAATCAGTATCGCATCGTATCATGAAATATACTATTGCGGCAACCCTACCGTGAGCGTACGGTTTATTCGAAGGTATGTTTTATGCCCAGGTGATAGGCTGCCAAGTAAGGAGGGAGCCAGAAGACTCGACAGAGCGGTACACGCGGTGGATTAACGGCCTCTCTCATGAACAGCTGCTCACTCAGGTAAGGGCACGGTCCACTGCGTGCTGACACCACCCACCCATTGTCCTACCAACAGGCCTTTGGAGAAACATTCATTATTTTTCAATCATAAAATATTACATTTTTTGCACGTGCACGTTTATGGCTGCGCTTTTTTTTGGCTTGAGCACAATAAAATTAAGGCAGGTGCCGCCGTAGGCAGGGATGTAAAATTTGCGGTCGCATGTGCACACACGTACACGCTTATACATACCTTGGCAAGTGACTCAATAAACTTACACAACTTTGCTTACTCTCTTAATGTACATGCAAATATACATTAATTATTATCCAGGGCAATGGTGCTGTGGTGTAATGGTTGAAGTCTAATCATTTAGCAAGGTCCTTAAATCCTACCAACTATGTTCACCTCGCAGTATAGATGCATAAACTGCAGTCGATTGGTAGCTTACATATTGTGGGGGTCAAGTGTGTGGAAGAGTAGGCCAAAATATAATCTCGAGGCGCTTTCTAGGGCCCCCTCTAATTGAGACACTTCCGGCAGTACTAACACGTGCAAGCACACACACTAATGTTTGCGGGGTGGTAGCTTCAGTGGGAAGTTCTACTCAGCCACAATTTGAGGGAAACATGAGAAACCTGTCCCACTCTAATGTCTGCGGTGTTTAACACTGTATACCGAACTGCAGAAGGAATTCATTTTGAATGTGCGTGCTGCCAGCACCGCGCGTTTTCCCCCTTTCCTTTCACAATTGCAGTGTATACATACAAAGGGCGCTGTGCTCTTAATGTGTTTGCATTCAAGAGTTAAAAAATAACTCTTTTGAATTACGGTGATAAATAGGCACTTTGAGGTGTGTTAGTGAAGCATTGAAAACAGGATCCAAACAGTGCCTGGAGTGTGTGTTTTGAAGAGGTCATGGGGCAGTGATTTTCCCTGCTTTCCTCAATCAATGGAAGCAGTTCTCGGGAATTCTTACAAACCGTCATGACGAGCCGATTCTTGATTATATGTTTATTGAAAATTATATTTCCAAATATGGCTTACTTCAAAAGGCATCTTTGTTTTTTGGTGCTTGTGCTGTGCATAGGTTATTCATAGAACACGTAACTATATGCTTGTGAATGCAATTTAGTACCACTACATTTTAGAGGTGGAGATATGATGCAGTGGTTAGTGCACTGTGCTATGAACTTGGTGACCTGACTTCGATTCCTGGCCACAGCTAGCATCAGTAGTGACTGTTATCTAATCCAGTCCTGGGCCCCCCTCCGTCCAGCAACCAGCAGTGACCAGCATGGCCAAGTAGGGTTTAACCAACCCCGGGACTGACGTGATGAAATGGTAATGCCTTCATCCAGCAGTGGATTAACAGCAGGCTGTAAATTATGAATACTTTTAATGTCCACGTAAATAGGTCAATACAGTCAAAAATAAATCAGCATTTTTCCTTAAAAAAAAAGGGGTTATTGGCATTCAAATCCGCAAACTGCATAAACAAAGTACTTGTTTACAAATTGTAGCAGTGACTGCATTATATATTCTTGAACCAAGATGACCTGCTTGGGCACAGTGAAACCAATTTGGTGTGTGAAGCAGCTCGGCAGCTGCCCTGTGGTTTGTTTCGGGAAACTGAAGTCAGTACCTGCCGTAATGTATTTATTGTATCTGTGTGGTAACACATTCAATTATTGCAATACATACACCCGTGTGCGATTTGCAGGCATTCACCTCACATGGCCCGACCGTTATCATGCCCACTTGGTTCTGTCACAGAGACCTCTTCAATGCCATCGGCAATTTCGACGAAGGGGGGAAGGTAAGGTCTTGTTGCTCGCCGGTTATCTATTTAATGTTTAAAAAAAAAGGATCCACTGTTAAAATTCTAGTTTCCGAAACGGTGATGTTAGAAGCTTTCGTTGTGATAAAAAAATGAACGGACGGCTCACTCCGTGTCGGTTGTGTCTACTGCAAACAAGCCAGATAATGTGGTACGCTGTTTATTCAGGAGAATTCATTTACCCCCCGCAGTGTGATTTTAGCCCTGAAATGGAACCGTTGCATTGCCTGGCAGAAGAGGATGTGGCCCACTGATTTGCAATGGCATTGTCGGCTTATGGACTGCCGGACTGAAGCGAGTGGGCTGAAACATTTAGCGTGGCGAGGCCTCAAAGGGAGTTTGGGTGCTTGAGCGCGGCTACTTGTTTGCGTCTAGGGCGTTCCCGAGGACCTGCTGTTTTTCTACCAGCTCCTCCGCCTCGGGAACCGACCCCTTCGCGTGGACCAGTGCCTTCTCACGTACCGTTACCACCGGACGGCCGCCACCCACTCGGTCCTCGAGTGAGTTGGGGCAACCAAACAACACCCTTCTCGAGTGAAATGACGGGTCGCTGTCATCATCACGAGCAACGGCGGGGGCATCGTCATCATCGTCGTCATCATAATCACGATCCAGAAACACGATTACAATTACACACGTCACAAGCCAGTGATGTTCCACTTTACAAGACAAAGGCGTAAAACAATTGAAAGTAAATACTGTAAAACTATGAAAAGAGAGAATATATAAGTGATATATTTATATAAGAATATTTCAATCTTCAGTTGCTGCAGAAACAGCAGCAGCAATAAAATTATCACCATCATGGGACCTCCTGTGCCAGTACCAAAATATGAGAATAGGTTTTTCCCCTTTTATCTGGCAACACAACAGGTGTTAAGTTGTTAAAACACCAAACTGAAACCTTTTACAAGGAATCATGTCTGCATTAACCACGGTGGCGAGATGTTAACTACCTCGTCTCGTATGCAGGTCGTGGGTTCTGACCCAACATTGACGCCTGTTGTATTTTTGCCGTTTTCATGTTCTCCCCGTGGTCATGTGGATTTTTCTCCTAGTCTCTGGTTTTTCCCTCCACATTTAGAAACATGCATTTCGAGGATTTGGATGCTATACATTTCCCCACGATAAGCCATTTTGTTGAGCTATCATTTCTGGAAAAAAGCTATGTAGCTCAGTGAGCCTTACCCGGTTAAATAAAATAAATAGTTTAGTTTAAAGTATTACACATTGCTGTTGGTGTAATGTATAGAGGTGCATTCTGTGTTGTGATGATGCAGTATGCCGTACTCCCAGGGGCACCATATGGGATCTGCGTGTGCGCTTCCTGGAGGAGCGTGTGCTGGCGCAGTGGCAGCGTTTCACCATCTGGAATGCGGGCAAGCAGGGCAGGAAGCTCTACAGGAGCCTCGGCGTCCACAGCCAGCACAAGGTGCTGCGAGCCATCGCGCACACCTTAACAGTGCTAATGTATAGGGGTGAAACGACGATGCATCTATCAATCCATGAAACTCATCACCCATCATCAGCCATGAGCAATCCAATGCTGGAGGAAGGTTTGCTACAGCCGTAGACATCTTTCAAGGGCTTGCGGTGCAATAAGGGGTCAAGACAGTCGGCTTGAGGAGGCTTTTTTGCTGCGAGTGGACTCATTCTGGCTGAAGATGATTTGTTGTACATAACACCTTCACGTCACACTTGTAGCCGCTACAAGGGTGAGACTGAAAGCAATGTTTAACACATAAGAATAGATTATTTCTATGCCGTGCGGATCATGGGTGTTGCTTTGACCGTACTTCACTACGCTGGTCTGTGCGTGTTGGTGAAGCGTATAGATGGGAGCGTGGCATGAGATAGCCAAACATCTAAACATAGGCCTATAGAGCTTGGGCAATTGTTGGCAAAGCTTCTGGCTACCTTCCTGTTTGCCTGTGCATGCCTCTGAATCATTCTCTGAGAGTGGACACCAACTGCGTGTTACAGATTTGTAACTACGACACTATTGCATTACAACAGATATTTCTGCACTGCTCTCTGTCACTCACAATGTAGCCCCAAGCACTATCTAGGTTTGCATCGTTGAGATTCTGAGATCTGATAGCACTGAGCAAATTATGGGTGAGGTGGTCATTGGCACACTGATGTATGGTTCATTCTACAGACTGTAACTACATTATACATTAAGAAAGCATGTGATGTGTGAGTGATGTTAGCAACCGACTCCATGCTTTTCCCACTCTCTGATCAATGTTAGTGTCACGTGGCATGGGAGGCAAATTACTTGGTTCACTAATTATTAGGATTCTATATTTTACATTGCTTTAAATATTATGTCTCACAAATAAACAACGTAGCATTTTAGGATGACCCTGCCTATGATTAGAACCAATCAATTTCTTGGGGGAAGATACATTAAAAGTATATCTGAGTTACGGCCACTACGTCTGCAAATTTGCGCGCGTTACAAATTGAACTATTCTTATTATTTATTTATTTAGTTATAAAAACAGACTAAAAGCATATTTGTGGAAAATTTCAGCTTTCTGGTGCTTTTAGAGAATCATTAACATATACCTCAGTGGGTTATAGTCGTCTGAATATATGATAAGTGTGTGTTTTTTATTAGTGTATTATTGATATATGATAAGTGTGTGTGTTTTATTAGTGTATTATTTACATATGGATATGAATGCTCTCACATAAAGTCCAAAGTAGGAGCTCAGGGAATGCAAGTGAATAATTACCACGTCCTGGCTTTTACGTTCCTAACGCTGATATGTTTTTATACCATATTTAGCTCTGCTTAAATATGTACATATGTAAATAAAGTTGCCAAACTACTTTTTTTTTATTTGCAGGTGGAGGCATTTTGTGATGTGGACATTAAGAAAATAAAGAAAGGGTTTTATACATATGAAGAATCGCAGGTAAATATAACTAATTTTGGAATGTTCTTATGGAAACTTTATTCAAATAACATTTCTATCCACGCCCAAAGTGCGGAGAGCAGTCTCCATCGATTACCCACTCAATCTGTCTGGCCTCTTTTCTCTGCTGTTAACAAGGGCCATTGCTCAAATTGTTGCATATCATTTCTTTATTTTTCTATCTTTCTTTTAGAGCACTGCTATTGACTGATGAATGGAGTTTTCGTTAATAGTGGAATGCCGTCTTTTTCTGTGCTCAGCGCTCCCCACAACGCATGTGGAATCTGACCAAGTCCCATATAATACCTGCATTCCTTCCTGTGCAGCTAAGCTATCTATGATCTCCAATAAATCCTCTTTCTAATGTGTATAATCATGCAGAGGGGTAGGGGGCTGGGGAGCAGTGGTACAGTCATGAGCACACTGTGCTAAGAACCCACAAATTTATGTTTGATTAATGTCCATGGCTAGCATGGAGCGGTGATGTGGTTGTTAACATGGGGCGGTGATGTGGTTGTTAACATGGGGTGGTGATGTGCCCTGCGCAGTAGTGTGTTTTCCCGCTCGTTTGTGAGGGTCCATGGTTTTATTCTGGTTACGTATGCATGTTGAACTTCTTTTGCACCGTACGTAGCTAACAGTGCTAATCGGAGGTACACATGGTGGTGGGTGGGGGGTTAATCCTTGCACGACCCCGGTCTCTCGTTGCAAACGGATAGACAGACAAAGGATCATTTTTCACTCATGATGACAAAAACAAGGATCTTCAAATACATGAATGGTGGTATGATTTATTTAAAGTGCAGTACTCTATTGCATTTCAGCAATCCATCAGGAGCAAATGATCATAACCAATCAGTCATCCAATTACATTTGTTTTGCCCACTCTCCATATTAGGTTTCTCCCAATCTGTTGTGTCCCGAGTATAGAGACGGAAGCGTAGACGACATGAATGTTTTTAATACTCGCAATAAGTCACATCATGTATGAGGAAGCCTCCTCTAGCAGGAACCCTTAAATCGGCATACCTGATCATGTGACCATCTTAATAAGCTAATGCACACATATGCATGGCAATACACCTTGCACTACTTTTGGTTCATGATAGTAATATGATGTATGTGCGTATGAAGCTGGATGTTGCAGAATTAAAATATTAATAAAGGTTATTTTTTTCTTTAGGAACTCAAGAAACCAAATATTCCAATAAAGCATTTTTCAGCAGCAACTCCACCATTCATAATCTGCGTGAAAATGGTAAGCTTATTGCTGTATGGAGTGTCAGAAACCCCACGTATTTGCTTATGTATCAATCTTGCTTCATTCTTTTAGATTACTGGCCAACTTAGAAGTCGCGATTCGTTTAATGCTGCAAGGTCGATCTCTATGACTGTGCTGCTTTGGGCTCTCCCGTTGTGTAGCTTTCAATGGTTTGTATATGCAATTCCAAGTAAAAAAACACAGAGTCCTTTGAAGTAGTTCAAATAAATGCTGGTGGTTGTGTGTGTGTTTTTTACGAGAGCTTGTGCTGACCATTTAATTTTTCAGCTCGCAAAGAAAGTATTTTGGAATGCAACTTATTTAGTGCAAAGAGTCTGACCTCTGGGCATTGTTGCCCATTGCAGGTGGCCAGGAGTGAGGTCTGGTGGAGGAGCCGGCCGGGGTCAGGGCAGATTGCTATCGCTTTAACAAACAGCCCAGAGCTGGCAAGTGGGGTCGTGTGTTTATTCTTTGAATCTCTGACTTTACGAAGCCATAGCCGAGGTTATTTTATTATAGAGATGGGCATAATTATTTTAGGTTCAGCATTTGCCAAAGTCAGATTTACAACTGCATGCACAATGGAGTTTTGGTTACCATTTAATTGTAATACACGGGATAACGAGTGAATTCAAAATAATCACAGGTTTATTTTTTTAAATAGTCATGGGTTCAAAAACATCTGTAGTTGTATTTATTAACTCGTCATTCTATGGTGTAGATTAACTGAATCAGCAGCTTGATAATTTTGGTGAAAATATCGAGCCTCTTAAGGTTTTTGCTGCAGGTAAAGTTCCATGTTTAACGTTATAATGAGTTGTCCGTAATGCTGCAGTAGGTCGTTGTACACATTTACTTTATGCAACACTGGCTACTGGGCAGTTGCCAAAAGGCTTTAATGAAAGAATATATATTAGCCTGCCTTCCTCTGTATGAATGTATACAATCAAAGTAATCGTCATGACCCCATTGTTAATTCACGTAGCCATGCTTGTCTATAGAATTAATAATGATGGTGTTTTTGAAATTTAGTAATGATTTTTTGTTACTTTTTACAGGATCTCACAAGTGGGGCGTTTGAGAAAAACTTGGAGTCATTACATTTGACCGAAGGAGTCCATTTCTACCACTTCAATTGAATTAAAAGGGAACCTCATTAAGAGCTTTGTAGCGGGAAAACATCACGTTGAACACAACATCACGCTGCTCTGATTATTTGTGACTTCTTTCTCTTTGTATACCAAGAGTATGTTTGCCATTGCCACTTGCACGTTAGATGCTATTTAACCACCAAAATACAACATTTTGTTTTACTTTAAATATTTGTTGCAGTCCATTTTTGCTTGACAATCAATTCTCTCTTGTTTAGTCTATTTGGTGAGCGCTTAGTAACATGTGAGCAATGCTTCGTTTTCCCGTGGGCGCAAGCCACGACTTGACACGGATGCTAATGCACACGTGATATGTTTAAAATATAATTTTTGACCACTACAAAAAGCCGTGGAATACCCCGTGGACTTTGTGAGGCGAGCAAATGTTTCTCATTTCTGAATTTTCGTCCTGCCTAATCCTTGTGCAAAATACTGGAGTAAGGTTTCGAGATCTTGGCATGAAGACCTCAACGCCGGAGCGATGGCAGGATTCTAATAAAGAAAGGATTTTCTTAACTTCAGTGAATGCTAAGCTTCTTAACGCAACGCTACAATCTCAGCCCCACGACTTCTCTTTCATAACAGATTGTGCAGCCCAAATGAGATCCGTCAGGTGGAAACCGGAACTTGACCCACCGTGAAGTGCGGTCAGCGCAATTGGTGCTGGTGTCTTGGTAATGTTCAGGCCTCGGTGAAGCGGTCTTCCGTCCTCGTTTTCCTGAAGCGACGTCCTTTGTGTAGTTTTAAGGAAGTTCCCCTGCCCCGTGGGTCACTCATCACACCAGCGGAGATCACGGTTGCCCACTGAGCCGCCCCAACCAACCCTAACGAAACCCGTCTTGTTAAACAGGCTTTTAATGCTCCACGTGCGTGTGTCCACTCAGTGGCCTGTAACGTTATCCCTTTTAAGGAACAAAGCGCAACACGAGTGTTGATGAACCATGAAACGGTGACTTTAAAGGCATATTATACTCATATCAATGTCTTTCTGTCCTCGCAAAATGTGGGAGTAGTGGCGCACGCATGTGGTCCTGCACTTTGGAGGAAGGCTTGGTGGATCATACCAGTGTTATGTTTGCATAACACCCACCAGCAGGACTGGAGATGCCTGGTTGAGGGCAGTTCAGAAGCGAGGTTGTTGACTTATCAACGATACTTTTTCGAGTGTACATTTTTCTTCAGTGAATTTTGTACCTTTTTATTTTGCCCACATGTGCTCACACGTTTGCCACATGCAACATTGTTTACAATAAAAAAGTCACCATTCACCCGACTAAAAGTGTGTTTATACTCATTGAAGCTTTCCTGGACGAATTCAATGTAAGGATTATTTTTGTTGAACAATCCACTGTTGGATTAAGGCCTCATCCCATGTTTGTAGTGATTGACCATACTTCACCATGCAAGTCAGTGCAGGTTGGTGATTATTAACAATCATTTCATAGCTGAAATGGGCTTGTCTAATAGTAACATTCTTTTTTTCAGTTATTTTTACTGTCGTAAAAATGTATTGAGAACTATGAACAGCATCCTGCATCGTTGTGATTATATTTGTTCAAAGCGGTAAAAATATCAGATTCCAAAAATTCTACAAAAGTGTGATTGAACCGCCATTTTTTAAAGCATCTTTTTTTTTTCTATCCACATGCTACCCTTAGCTTTGTTGTCAAGCGAATGATAGGGCATTCATTATTATTTCAAGCAGAGCCAGGTTTTAGTGAAGCAGTGCGCACCGCGTGGCATGCATTCGAGAGCAGACCCGTGATCGTGCACGGCTGCCATTAACCCCATCCAGCCCATTTGCCACGGACCTCACCTGTGGAGCCCTGTGATTGATGTGCATTCATTCAGGGCGGACACCTGTGGTTCAAAATGAGTGTATAGGCAGATTGATTTGGATACAATAACCTCCGCCCGCCTCCTTTGTTCAGAGGGAATAAATGAAGGCGACGCTCGTTGGGTTTGTAACACGTGTCTAATAAGTAACGTGTAACAATTCATTATTCATCATCGTTAACAACAACAACGTCGCCATCGCCTATTGTGAGGACAGCTAACTATTGCCATACAAAAGCGTTGGTCGAAATGAATTATGGACTACTTGACGCAGGTCTTCTGCTTTTCCGCAACTGGCATTCAAAAACGGTGAACCTAGAAATGTCGTGTGTAGTGAGTGATTCTATATATTTGGTCCCGGTGCCTGTAAAATGACCGTCCCTTGTGAGCAATGTCTTGTAATTTAATGACTGCTGATTATCACGTTTGATAATTACACTGCGTTTCAGAGGGTTGGATTACATCTCACGCCTCCTGGACTTGCCCAATTTAATTCTCTAAATACGAGGTAATTCAAGCACCACAATATCATAAATCTATCGGAAACATGTACAGTACAAATCAAATAATCACTGCATTTAGAAGGTGCGCCATTCTTATCGGGCGATGCTGTCAAGAAATCGCGCTCCTTAAATTAGTGTATCCAATCGGGTAATTTGCAAATACATTTTAAATGACAAGTTTGAACCATGATGCCAGTAACACCTGCCTTACTCTCGAATACAAGCGTGTCACGGGACCTGTAATGTCCGCTGAGAAGCAGACTCCGCATTCGTCGTTGGTCCACCCGCAGCATTAATCAGGGCAGCCGCTGAGTTCTAATCGCGAACCCACTGCAACAAGCGGTAAACACGTGGCCGCAATCGGAGTGGATTGCTTGGAGATCGCACATCAGGTCCATTAAAACAGAGGGGAGATGTGATATGGAGTGGAGTTATCACACAGGTACATTGAAACAGGGTAGATGTGATAGGGAGTGGAGTTATCACACATCAGGTACATTAAAACAGGGGGGGGGCGTGATATGGAGTGGAGTTATCACACATCAGGTACATTGAAAGACGGTACATGTGATATTGAGTGGAGTTATCACACACCAGGTACATTGAAAGAGGGTAGATGTGATATGGAGTGGAGTAAGTCTCTCAAACTTCATATCTTTAAACGATTAATCTTGTGCACAACTTATAAATGCTCGTATTTTGTATATAGTGCCATCTGCTGGCCCTTCGGAGTTTTCGCGTAATTCACGATTATGTGTTAAGAATTCACTCTGGTACATTATTGGAAATCGTAATACTTAAAGTGCAGATATTGAGAGCGAGTCTTATTTGGGTGTCACTTGAATCTGCTCGTAAAATACTCTACCCCTTTGCAATTTAATTTATGTTTCAATGTAGGATTGTGGAGATTGTCTCCATCCATATGTATTAGCTGAATGGCAATATCTGTTTATGATTGCTTCTATTCCCAGCGCTCTTTAAAAAAAATTGTGAATTTACAATCAGTTTCTGCTAGAGTGATCAGATTGCTAGCAATAAGCATCAGGCCAATTTGCTTTAATTAAATGTATCATATTATTGGTTCTTTCGGTAAAGTCAGGTAGAAGGGAAATAATAATAAAATAATAAAAATTTAACAATTCAATTCTCACGACGTTTCGGCCACAACGCAAGCAGCCATCCTCAGGTGAAGAACAGAGCTTTCGAAAAGATAGCATCTTGTTCTTCACCTGAGGACGGCTGCTTGCGTTGTGGCCGTAACGTCGTGAGAAATTAGTTTTATTTGTATTATTTTATTATTTACCTGCTCCATGACTTTACCGAAAGAACCAAGAATATGAATCCTTGCAGTCACGAAAGCTTTAAATCAAAATTTAAATGTCTTAGTTGCCATTGTTTTTTTTTCAGAGAATTATTTGTCAGTAATTGTTTCTAGCAAATACACAATAATGCCCCGTTTCTTTCTCTATTGCCGGTTCACACGTGACTCACCACAAGCCAGCTATGACTTTTTAGACAGCGCATGTCAGAGACGCGTCCAATACAGTTAGCGATGGGCTCGTGCGGGGAACTTTGATTTAATTAACTGTATTGCCTGCCTCTGATATGGATCATATAAGCCGGGCAGGCTTTCCTATTTGGTTTCACAGTAATGGAAACCTACATATTGAACACCGTGCCCTGGCCAACTGGATATCGGACTGGAGGTTCTTTGTGGTTGTAAGGTGAAACCATAGCACCCCCGTCATGTTTTGAATTACACTCAAGAGGTGGAGTCCGTTGATAAAATAGCGCCTCGCGGTCAGGTAAGTCAATATTGTATTTGTTCAGCGATACATTGCCAATGTTTGTTGATGCTACACTGTATTGGTTGCGATGCGACCACGGGGTAATGATGATCACGCTGGACTTGAAATCAATCCACGGGTCACCGGTTCGCGAATTTATCTCCCGTGCCGCGCAGTAGGTGAAACAACGGTGAAAGTTGTATGAAGTCTCCCCCCAACCTCTGTCCACCCAGCAGTAAACATTGCAGTCGATTGATTGGCAGGTCGTATGTGGTGGTGGTGGTGGTGGTGGGTAAAGTCTGGGTAGCCCCATCGAATTGGAAGATCGCCACAGTAGGTTGCCAGCAGTGGCATCAGAAAGTCATTTCATGGCTGCATCGTCACCTGATTTACTGTATTTGTCGTCTTCTCTTTGGTCCGATCTATTGGCGATGGAGAAAACTTGGTCAGATCTCGCACGGGAGAACGTTGGAAGGGGAACATGAAGTTAAAAAAACAAGCCTCCACCTACACATCTTTTACTAGCGTGTGTCATTGCTCCTGCGGCGTTCTGCGAATGCATTTCCTCTTCAGATGCGTTTGGATACAATAAAAAAGCAAGCTTCCTTCTCGAAGCTAAGGCAAGTGTCATTGCATAGCGTGCATCATCGCACGAGGCGATCAGTCTCCCATTAAACAAAACTAATCATCTCTGTGGGATCTTTGAGCTTCTTGATGCAGACATTTCATTGGAAGCGCGACGTGAGACGAATGCGTTGACGACGATTAGAAGCTGGCACGTCGGCTCGAAAGCGATATTACTCGTCTCTTCAATCTCAGGATACCCCCAACTCGCACGGGAAGCTTTCACTTGGGAATGGCCACAACCCAAATCACTTACAGCTGTGAAGGGCACATGAGGGGCAAGCCCTATTTCACACTGCTATATCAATGTTTGGAAACTGGCGATGTCGAGGCGACATGTTGGGCCTGGGCCTTCAGCCGGAAAATGAACTGTGCATTCCCTCTTTTAAATCCTTTATAATAAGTTCGCTTGCTTGCTTGCGTGCTTGCTTGCTTGCTTACGACGGTGCAAATCTTTCGGTCGTTTTTTAACCCACTTCCCGTGATCCAATCGAGCTGACATTTTCCACACAGACTCGTTGTGCGTGACAATTAATGTTCGTTTTTTTAGGAGAAAAATATTATATTTAATTACCAATTGCTTAATGGTGCCATGCAATCATCTGACCCATAGGTGGCAGCCATCTCAAGCCAGAGGAGACGAGAGGACTATAGCCGCCACGCATATAAAGGATTTATAGTGAAAAACTTTGTTTTTACGGGTTTATACTTGTTTCATGTGCTACGGCTTGAGCACTCCACTCGCAACCAGAAGGGGACAAGTTGT